GTTTTCTCCTGGGGTAGCCCCGGGTTTTGTAACCTCTATTGTTAGAAGCTCTGGTTTGGAGGAAGTATTGTTTGAGACGTATTTCTCTTTCCTTTCGTCATTTCATATTTGCTTTAGATAATATAGTGGTTTTGAAGCTTTGGTGAAGAGCCCCAGAGCAATTTTTCTTTCTTTTCCTTACTTTCACTTTTTTCCCCTACCAAGTCCATGAAAAATGATGTAATGAGGTTCTCCCATTTATGTGAATAGTTAGATCTTAAAAAACATTTTTTTCAAGTGCTTAGTCTGAAAGCTGACAGAGCCAGGCAGCATGGTGAAGGGCTTTAGATTTTTCAGTAAGGAGTTTTCAATATTTCTCCTGAAATCCCAGAAAACTCATAGTTAATTTTGCAATTTATCTGCTTCAGGAGACTGTGTGTGTCCTGCCTGCTTCTCTTGAGGCCTCTGAGAGCAGCTTCTAGTTGCAGATTCTGAGCTGGGACTGATCAGGTTTGCCCTTCAAATGTACCCAAATTCTCCATTTTCTCAGACCATTCCCTCCCCAGTGGCCAAGGGAGGAGCAGGCGTGACTCCTGTGTCTTCCCACCCACAGGGAAGCATTTCTACCTTGTGGGACCCTCCCAGGGAGGCCTGACCTTGACTACTAGTCTCCCTTTCCTAGGGATGGAGTCCCCCCCCCCCGAGGGTTTCCCAAATGTTCTTTGGCTTGTGTTGTTTGCCATTCCTTTGGAAACCTGTCCAGAAAGACTCTGCAAAGTCTGCTCACAGAAGCTTCTACCTTCCCGACGGGTCATTCTGAGCAATGGCCTTGAGCATCTGTCACTGTGCTCAGCAGACGTCCAGGTGCCTCGTGTGGTTCACAAAGCCTCTGTGTCTTGGCCCTCCTGGCTCTCTAGCCTCTTCTCTTGCAAATCCTTTCCATTCCGGTGACACTCTTGCAACTCAGCATTGATTATGTTTGTATGTATCCACCTGCCATTTCCCTCCTTGTGTGTCTTCCCAACACTTAGCACCTGCCCATTTCACGTCCTGTCTCTTTCCATTAAAACCCACCCCCCAAACAAACATATTTGTGGGATCTCAAAACAAAGCACACAGAACAAGCACAGACTCAGAAACAGACCAAAGAAAGGATGGACACCAGAGGGAGGGGTGGAGGGATGGCTAGAAAGGGGGAGGGGCTTATAGTCACTCATTTGTGATAAGTGTACATGGTGACAGCTGATTACTAGAAGTAGTGGAGTGGTCACTAATTAAAGTATACAAATGTCAAATCACTGTCTTGTATGCCTGAAACCAATATAACCAATATAAGATTGAATATCCACTGTACTTAAATAAAAAGAATAAATTATTTTTAAAAAAGATTCCCCATCGCAGATGCTGGAAGGTCATAAGGCAGCCCTGGACACAGAAGGCATCATTAGGTTTTATATGCCTGCTGACCGTCTGTAACTCCTGGACCTCTCCTGACACGGGTAGGAGGGGACCTGCCTGCTATTTAAGCCTCTCCAGGTGTGGGATTCAGGGACTAGAGGAAATAATTTGCAGGGCCAGAGTCTCAGAAATCTTAGTGCTTGGCCAAAGAAATGGGTCTATTTTTCATTGTGTGGTGATGACGGATATATACATTAGTATCAGGGAAATTATGGACATATAATAATATTAATGATGTATATTATTGAATGTGGTAGAAAAATTCAAGTGATGTGTTTTATTTGATTAGAACGGGCATCTCTTCCTTCATGCTCAGCCTTCCTTGTTTTCTATGGGTGGTTGCATGTAGCTTTAAAAATGTAAACATTATTTGCTGGAATTTACCTTTTATCAAGTGGAAGTAATTTTTCTAAAAACTATGTAGCATAAAAAATCAAATGGATTAATTTGGGGGAGGTGAGTTTTAGACATTTGAAATTTACATTTAAACTTTGTGTTTTTTTTAAAAGATTTTATATATTTATTTTTAGAGAGGGGGAGGGAGAGAGAAAGAGAGGACGAGAAACATCACTGTGTGGTTGCCTCTTGAACGCCCCCTACTGGGGACCTGGCCCAAAACCCAGACATGTGCTCTGACTGGGAATTAAACTGGTGGCCCTTTGGTTCACAGGCCAGCACTCCATCCACTGAGCCACACCAGCCAGGGCTTCTTTATTTTTAGTTTTTGTATTTTGGCACGTCATTTACCTCTGTAATAGTCTGGGTAGTGGGAGCTGGGGATGCACCAGACACACTGAGACACTGAAATTCCATGCAGGGGGACTGAGGCATCCAGACAAGTAGGGGCCTATTGCTTCGGCTCGTGTCCAAAATAACACGAGGCAAGAGTAATCACTTGCAGTTGCCGTAGATAATTGCAAGCTGATTTTATTGAGAAAGAGAGCAACACTACACACATACAATTAAACACTGATCAAACCTGCAGCTTCCGCCCTCCCTACCCAGTCCAAGGGGAAACTAAGCCTCAGCCGAACAGTATTTAATGATTGCATTTCAGAGGCGCTGGATCTATGGGAGATATCAGGAAATACAGACTGCAATTACTGTCTCTGTCGTCCGGGACTTTATTGGTGCCACACTGAGGAGAGTGTTAGGACGCAGGTTAGAGGGGAAAGTATTCAACCAGCCTGTTAGCCTGTAAAGGTGACCACTTACTAGAATCACCTTACTCAGTGGCATTAAGACCCCCTGTGAAAGTCATTGTGTTTGTAGTTTGAAGTCATTTCTAAAGTTGAGTTACAGTTGATTTGCCCAGCGAGGGACATAGGGAAACATTTCTTAAGCTATTTCTATTGTTTTTTCATGTGCCACTTTGACACGTCTGTTGTCCTTCGGGTCTCACGCCAGCACTCCAGCCACAGAGTTCTCAGAAGAGTCAGGCTGGCATGTCCTTCTTGAAATATTGTATGTACCTGCACATGTATGTGTGTGTGTGTGTGTTTGTATTCTTCACACAAATGACAGCCTATGAGTTAGTCTCTCTTAAAAATATATCAGGTAGTCCTATATTGGCTACATAGTTTTTTATGGTCTGGACATATCATAATTGATTCAACCAGAAACTTATGATGAGCATTTAGGTTATTTCTGATATTTTTGTTCTTATAAACAGTGCTATAATACACATATATCCTTGTTCAAAAGTCATTTTGCAACCTCTGCAAGTAGAAATCTTAGTATACATTCATAAAGGTGAAATTGTGGAGTTCCTCTAAGGTCAAAGGGCTTGTGCGTTTGTCATTTTGAGAGGTGCTGTCAAATTGTCCACCACAGAGATTCCGAGTGTGCCAGTTCAATAACCACATACTTTATTGATGTGTTTCATATATTCTGGTCTGATAGGTGAAAAATATCTATTGTGGCTTTAACGTGAATGTATGTGAATAAGTTTGAACATCTTTTTTATGTGTACAAACTCATTTTATCTCCCCTTATGTGTTTTACCTTCATAGCTTTGCCCAGGATTCTATCTGATGGTTGCATTTAGTCTATGGAGGTGGAGAGAGCTGGTGATGCTCATTTACACTTTCACGTGAGCAGTGTAATCAGCTTGCCCGGTTACCAACCCCATGCACCCAGAAATCAGTCCTGGTGGTGTTTTTATTGTGCTTGTGTCAAATTTATGGATGAATTTAGAAAGAACTGACATTTCCACAATGTTCAGTCTTATTTCCCCAGAAAATAATATGTTAGTATCTTTGTTTAAATATTCTTTTGTGGCCTTCAATAATATTTTTAAGTTTTACTTTGTAGAGACAATGCACATGTAAGAATCTTACTAGGTATTTTTATATGCACACTTTTGTAGCTAGCATTTTCTTCATTCACCTCTTTCTTGGGATATGTTTTTCCTGGTTGATTTGCAGATAAATAATCACATCATTTGCAAAAGAATGTTTCTCTTGTTAAAACATCTTTTACCTTTTTTTGAGTCCGACTAGGACCCCCTCTGACATACCAGTCCAGGGGACCATTCCTTTCAGAGTCATGGAGAGTCATGGTGGTGAGTCACCACCATTATGAGTCGTGGTGGTGACAGAGGACATTGTGTTCTAATCCCTAACTCTGGGAATATTCCTCATCTTTCCTTACGAGAATATGATGCTGGCTTTGGGTGGAGTAGATCTGTATTTTATCACTTGAAGGAACTAGCCACCTATTATATCTCTTTTATTGAGATTTTCTTTATGAAAAGATATATTTTGTTGAATACTTGAGTGCATATCTGGTGACTCATGATTTTTTTCATTTATGAATAGGATTCATTTTAGGTATAAATGTTTGCACACTGAACCATCCCCGTATTCTTGCAATACGGTCTACGTGGTTGTGCACTGTTGTTCTTTTACTGCGCTGCTGGATCCGAATTCTGTTTGCTTATGTTGTATTTAAGAGTTTGGCCTTGATTTTTTTCAGATGTGAGACTGGTTGTGTTTGTGTGTATTTGTTTGTGTCTCTGTGTGTACATGTGTGTCATGCGTGTTTTCTTTTTGGATTTTGATGCATACTATTCTACCTGCACAAAAGGAATTTGGGAACTTTTGCTATGCTCCTAAGCAATTTAAAGGGTATTAAAATTACTCACTCTCTAATTGTACAGTAGTATTTCCCTTTGTGTTATAATTCTCTTGGCCTGTGTTTTCCTAGGAGATACTTCTTTGACATCTTCTATATCTTCTCTGCCTTGTTTAGCTATTCTATCTCTTCTGGGGTGGATTTGGTTCTTAATATAGTCCTAAAAACCAGCCATTTAATTTATATTTCTCTAATTTATTTGCATGGAATTTAACAAAATATTTTTCCCTTGATAACTGAGGTTATTTCCTCAACATGTGAAAACTTTTTGATTAAAAATAAATGTTAAAAATATTCTAAAGACTTGTAAAATATGTTATAAAAGGACTATATTTTTGTTAAAATTTCAGTGATTCCTGAGGTGAGCATTGTGGCCCCAGGACTCGAGATGCCTCCCTTCCTGTCTGATACCCTCTCCTCTTCGACAGGCCCTGAGGAGGAAAGTGAGGAGGACCCTCAGCTCGAAGGCCGGGACCCTGACACTTGGCACGTGGGCTTCAAGATCTCCTGGGACATCGAGACGCCAGGCTTGGCCATCCCCCTTCGCCAAGGAGACTGCTACTTTATGCTGGGTAATTCGGAGGACCAAAACCCTCTGCTGATGCTCTATTGTCTAAGTGTTACGTTACTGGGTGCATATTTTGAATATGTCTTTCGAAGTACGCTTTTCAAGTATTTTATAGGGATAAGGAAAACTTAGACACGTGCCTAGATTGTTTGTTTGCTTTTTGAGACACAGCTACTTTTTGGAAGTTATTTTTCATTCTCAGTGTTTCCGGAGTTCTGCAGATGTTCTAGACAATTTTCAGGGATCCTCGTCAGAGCCACAGAATCATCTAAATCCACTTAGCACTGTGAGGTTTTAGAAGTGTTTCCCCATCTCTGTAAGTTCTTGGTGGGAATGTGCTTTTCTCCCCCAGCATTGTATTTGGTTTCTTCTCGGGAGCCGCCTACCCGACCGTGAGCACGTGTTTTTCCGGAAGTCCCATTTCTGCGGAGGTTAAGCTCTAACCCAAGCTGTGCGGTGCTTCCTTTTCCCTTCTTTGCTCCAGGTGTCGTGTTTTGTTTGTGGGCATTTGGCTCATTTTCCAGGGTACTGTGTTTTATTTTTACCCCCGAAGCCTCTCAGGGTTTATTGTCTCCTTGGCTGTAGCTCCTGACTGTTTTGGTCTGTCTCGCTCCAACCTGCTTCGGGGGGCGCTACTCCTGTGCTGGTTGTAGAGCCAGGAGGCACCAAGGCTCCACCCCAGTATTTGTGATGAAATGATTTCCCAATCAAGTATACGTAGCATATGTTCTGCATGCGGCATAAGGTTCTAGAGGAGACACTGGGGATGGATGAACCTTGGTCCTCACCCTGTAGGAACTCGGATTTCACAGTAGCTCTCTGGGCCGTTACTTCATTAAGTATTGTCCAGCTCTCAGTGATTCGTACCAGCTTCGGAGCATCTCGCCGTATCCACTTGTTTTCATTGTAATTGAATATTTTAAATGGACAACCGGTATCACTTGGCGTAACTAGAAAGTTTTATAAATTGGTAAAGTAAAACAGTATTAAGGGTCTACTACCTTTTCCCCCCTCAAGACCCTGAGTCTGGGTCCAGTTCTGCCTTTGTTAAAAGGGAGATTAGTAACTGTTAGGAGTTTACTGTGTAATGGTACCTCTTTGAGACTTTCTCCGTGATGTCAGCAGGGAGATGGGAAGATCATTTTGTAAGAAATGAGCTTCTCACGGTGGGATTCCCTGGTGCTTACTGCTGTGCCCCTTTACCTCTGAAATTCTCCTCCTGGGCTGATTCCTGCATTTGTTGAACACGGATCTCAGTAAGCCCCAAATCTCTGGCCTTCCATTTGCACTCGCTTTACAGTTTACAAATCAGTTTCACGTAAGCATCCCGTTCGGTCCCCAGACAGCCTCGTGAGGGGGGTGCTGCAGAGGCCTTTCCCCTTAAGTAATTTGTCTACGGTCACTCCGTCACTCTGAGGCAGTCTAGGACCAGGATGGGTTTCAGGTTTCACGTACAGATGGTCCCTGACTCGCCACCGTTTGACTTCAGGTTTTGTTTTGCCTTTTCGATAATAGGAAAGCAGTAAACACTCTTCGGTAGGAATCACCCCTGGAATTTTGCATGATGGTCTCTTCCTAGACTGTCTCCTTTCACAATGCCGTGTAACACGCCAATTTTGGCCAACAGGTGGCCACCTTAAGTGTTCTGAGCACATCTAAAGTAGGCCAGGCTAGGGCACGATGTTCAGCAGGTGAGGTGTATTAAATGCATTTTTAATGCACAGTAGTTTGAACGTACCTGGGTTTTTCCAGAGGTAACCCATTATAAGCTGAGGAGCACCTGCACAGTGCTTTGTCTGCTCGAAAACAGACCATTTAGACTTGAACCCAATACACTGGAACCTCTATGTAGGGATGCTTTTAGGGTTACGTTCGTATCTCCCCCTGCCTGTCCTCTGCTGCCTCAGGAATGAAGTTTTTTAATGAAGTCTCTGCCCCATCACTGAGTCCCATGTGCAGGTAAACAGATTATTATTTCATTTTTCAATGTATCACCCTGGTGTGGATATTTATTCAATACCTTAAGTATAAATTTCAGCCAATAAACCACTTTCCTTCGGGTACTTTGTTCAGGAGTTTCTATTAGCAATTTGCATCTTTAAAAGAAATGAGTCAGAATGTTACCATTTTAATAGCTTTATTCATTTTCTGTTTAGAAAAGTAGTAAATACACATTGTAAAAGTTCAGCTATCTCCCACTTATTGATTAATATCTCATGTGTCCTCTTCTGATTGAAAAAGTGATCTATTCTCATTTTAGAGAAAAGAAACTCTGAAAAGTATACAATGAGAGAAGATGATAAACATCAGGTTCATCCTGTTTCAGGATATTCTTTTTAAGTCTTTTTTCTGTACATGCTCATGTCTGGAATGATAGCAGTGTATGAGTAACAACCCCCTTTATTGCAGACTGATAGCAAGCCACACATTCTTTTAATCCTCTCAGCAACCCTAGGAAATAGGTCTTAGCTATACTGCCAAGGAAAAAAGTAAAGTTAGGTTGATGTAGTCGCTTCGCCATAATTACACAGCTAATAGGCCTGGGCTGGCACTTGTCATTTCTCCCCGACCCCGGGCTCTGCCACCGTGTGTCGGGCCACCCTCCTCCCCACTCGGGCGCTGACCCCTGCTCTGGGCTCTGTGTCCTCCTCTCCCTCCCTAGCACAACGCCATGCCTGACAGGCTCTAGGACTAGATTGTTCCAAAAGGGAAGAAAAGAAGACCACAAGAGTCCATTTGCTCCTTTCTTTTCATTTCTTTTTAAAGTTACATTTGTTCTTGCCTTAGAAATTGGTGAGTAGTGACGATATTGAATCATTACATTGTCCTTTTGAGTTTTGTGTTCCAGTGCCTATACCTTTGAAATATGCATTGAGCCCCTTTAGCTACTGTTGGCGAGAAACAGGAGAAGTGAGTATTTTATGGGAACTGGTAGCCAAGTTCTAATGTCTCTTCCTGATTTCCTAAATTTGCCTTCAGTTCCAGGTGAGATAGCTGGTAGCCCACCGAGCAGGCCAAGCCCAGGATAGCATACCCTCGGTGTGCATCGAGGCTATATTTCCTCATGAAGACGTCATATTGGATTTCTAAATGGAATTTTCCTCCACTTCCTCTTAGAAACAAACGAACAAACAAAAGCAACCGCGGTCAAATCCCCCCTTTGCACTGTTTGCAAATCCACAAACTATCGGGAGCCCGAAGAGGGACCTTGGCCCTGCGCTGATATCTGAAATCTGAACTTCACAGCACTTACGAAAAGGAAACAGTTTAGCTCAATTTATAATAATATATTGGTCTGCAGAGGAAGTGCGGGCTGAGCCCCGCTGTCTCAAGTCAATACTCGGGGGGTGTCTGATGGGGAGCTCGTCGGGTGCCTGCCATAAATCCAGCGCCCGTGCGAGTGAAGGCTCTGCCCGCGGTGCCCGAGGACACGCTTAACTGGAGTTGTCACGGTCTGACTTTGAAATCGGAATCTTGGCCCTAATCTCAGAGTTAGACATGACCAGATTTGCAAACAGATTTACAATTTTCACTAATTTTCCAACCAGGACTTCAAAACACACTTAGAGGAGGGAAAAAAAAAATAGATTCTGGTCTTTTTCAGAGTAGGATGATTTACTTTGCCACAGATGTTTTCCATAGACTGAATGTAACCTGGGACGTAGGGACTTAAAAAGTGACTTGGGGACAAACTGTAGGTTTGTGTTTTGTGGAACAGATTGTACAGTTCAGGGGACGTCGACCCCATTTTGTTTATTAACCAGGAGCCTGGTGTGGAGGAGGCATGTTTCAGGACAAAGGTGGGTGCTAGGTAAACAATTGGGGCGAACCTCCTTCTTCCCTCCTTAATTTATTGTTACTACTTTTTACACGTGACTCTTTACAGCTCCCTTCTAGCTGTCTACTCGCGTTTCCTTAAATCCAGCTGCATCCCTTTTCCAAATATCTGTTACTGTAACAATCAGCTACTTCAAAGCTTCAGCTGCCCCGTAAAAATCCATGGCAAGAAAAAAAAAAAGAGAGAAAAAAAAAATGTCAGTTGGAATTCATAGTCTTTCTTTTTGGGACTTTGTGTTCCCTCACCAACAGTTTGGGGTAAGATATTGAAAGAGCTACTCTGTTTTCCGTTGGGTGACTGGGTTCAGACTCACCGTCTGCGGGGTGGGCGCTGTTAGCCCCTCTCGGAGTTCCTACCGCCCTGCCCCCCAAACCAGTGGTGGTGATCCTCACTTCCAGGTCACTATGAGTCCAAATGAAATGTACAGGACAGCGCTTTGCACACTACGATTTGAATGGGGGGCCTTGGGAAGACTGGGACCTTGGAGAACCAGAGAGACGAGTGGGGGCCCGGAGGGGGCCGAACGTTCTTCTCACCCTTCTCCCCACCCTGAGTTTCGCCAGCTTCATGCCTCGCTTTTCCATGAACATGTTTTCCTAGCACCCAGAGGAGCCCCAGGAAGGAGAAGTGGTACCAGTCACCTCTGGCGGGAGAGAAGTCCACAACTGGCCACTGCTGAGTCAGAGCTCTGTGGGGACCACGGTCTTCCCTGGGTAGAGGCTGAGTTGATGCCTGGAGCCTGGGCGGGAGTTTCTGATAAACGGGGTTCCCTTCCTTGTCCTGTTGGCGGCGCAGAGCAGCAGGCCCGGGCCTGTGCTCCAACCTGGAAAGGCGCCCTGCAGGGCATTGGGGGTGCCCTGGGTAGGGTGTGCTGCCCTGTGAGCAGGAAGAACCGAGAACCTGGGAGCTGAGCATCTCTGTCTCCGCTGAGGCCCCCCTGGGACTTCGTTCAGAGGCTGTGGCATCTTAGTTTATTCCTCCGGGTGTCCCTCTGTCCTGCCCCGACTTACACATTTTATTGGAAGGCAAAGGCTTGTGTTATTTTTTCCCTCTGACCCCGCTCCCGTCCTCCCCCCAACCTCTGACTGACCAACTGAAGTAAAAAGTGCCTGGAATTTACAGCTTCATCATAAATTCTAAATAATTATACTTTATTACCTCTCCTG